CCCCCAATTGCAAGTCCAACCCTGTGAGGGAATCTCATGGATGGATCCCACGAATTCAATGGTTGAGATTTTTTCTACAACTGTTCTCAGGGAATATTTTGAATAAGATTTAGCATTATTGTTTTTGCTTCTACTTTCTAGCGACTTCCTATTCTTTTTTCTTTTTTTTAATAACTTTAAGACTATGGACTGGGCGATGCTACGCTCACCCTGTTCAAGACTCGTAGACTGGGCTTGTTTTTGCCTATTTAGCCAGGATCTTGGGTACGGCAGATTTATTTATTTATCTGTTACAGAAATATCTTCAGCATTTAAAAAGTAACCACCTCCATCTTCCATCTATTTAAGAAGTAATCACCTTCATACTCCACGTTAATAAAAAAAAAAAAAGAAGTAATCACCTTCATACTCCATCGTCTTTATTGATAATCACTTATTAAATATAATATGACTTCCATTTTTATTTTAATATGCTGTTTTCATTCTCTTGAAACATTTAAATAATATCAATTTTAACAATTGATAAGAAGCCCTAGCTTGAAGAAGTTTCCCGACAACTAGCAACTAGCATCGCTCACAACCATTTTGGTTCTAGGAAATTCAAGAGGCACACGCACGCATACAAGTAACGCCTTGTCTGGATCATAGCAAGAAAGCTATAACCAATATCTGTTTTTCTTTGGCATTAACTTAGAACCATGCACATCTAAAACATCTTTTACCAAGATTAATGTGGTTGTATGTAAACTTGTAGCGTTAATTTCTAAATGAATGACCAAGTCAGGGATGCATATTTATGCATCATATTTTCTTTATAAATGGAGAAAGGAAAATTATAATGTTTATGTTTGATAAAATAAATTAAAAATTACATGGACTGATAAATTGAGATATCGTTGCCATAGCTAACAAAATACTAAGACAAGAAACTATTTTTTTTTTAAGAGATGGACATGAAAAATAAAGTTAAAACAAATAGTTTTGAAAAATAAGAGAGATAACATTAATCAATATTTTTAAAAATAATCTAAAAAGAAGAAGAGAGAGCTATGATAGGCCATCTCTTTGAATCATAGTGCATGACCTATCATATAAAAACCCAGGTGTTATGGGCTTGGTAGTTTATGTCCGGGCACCTAAGAGTCTTTGGCTTACTCTATTTCTTTTTTTTTAAATAACCGAGACAAGTTGTTTGTCGTGGCTAGTGACTTATTATTTGTTAGGTGGCTAGTGACTTATCATTTGTTAGATTTGATTGGAAAAGGGTGGTACAGGTATTTGGACTACAAGAATTAGTTTTTCAACTTGGTTTTACCTAAAAGTACCTAAAAAACCCTATAAAAAGTTAAGAACCTCAATAAACTTTTTTCTAACATCAAAACATCCTCAAATAATTAAAAACAAATTAAAAGAATATAAAAAATTAATAGATCTCGGTTGATTTTTCTTGGCATGTTTATAAAAAAACACCACTTCTATTGAAGTCTAGTTTATGATTTTTTTTTTAGCTAAAATGTGACAATTCAAGCATTTTCTCTCTCCTTAAAAGTTTTTTATCAACTTTCTTTCACATCTCTCAAGAAAACATGAAGAAAAAGAAGTTTGGATTTTCAAAATAACAAGGACCAAATGATAGAAAACATGGAATTTGAGGTATCAAATTGAAGGAAGTTTGGATTTCCAAAATAACAAGGACCAAATGATAAAAAAACATGGAATTTGAGGTATCAAATTGAAGTTTTTCATGAAAAATTTAAACAGGGCATTTTTTATTTTTTTGTCAAATATGATCCTTATTTTTATAGTTTTTATTTCCAATCCTAATTAAATCTTGATTTTTCATAACCAAATATTCAAACATCCATCAAAATTTAACACATATAAGATAACACAAATTGAAAAAAATGAATAAACAGACCATGGTATTGTAACTTTTGAGGATGAAATTAAAATGATTAAAATCTTGATGGTTGAAATGGAAAAAAATTACACTATTTAAAATGAACAAAATCCATAATAAATTATTCCTAGTGCCAAAATGTTTTTTATGCAATGATTTACCAATAAGAAAAACTTAATGGACCCTAATATATTTTTTAGCATGTTTATAAGAAAGCACCACCTTAAATGAACTCCATTAAAGAGGACAAACCTATTGATATAAAGGTGTTGAAATATGACCATCCAAGCATTTTCTTTTTCCTTAAAATTTTTCAGCAATATCTCTCTCTCTCCTCACTCAACACACAATGACTAAATCTTGAATAAATAAAGTTTGGTATCGAAACATAAATTTTCAAAATAACATAGATCAAATAATAGAAAAATTGAAATTTGAGGGATGAAATTGAAGTTTTCCACAACAAAATCAAAATGGGAAATTTTTTGTTTTATCAAATTTGATCCTTATTCTTATAATTTATATTTTTAACAACAATTAAATCCTAATTTTGCAAAATCAAAACTAATTCATATTTGAATATCCATCAAAACTTATCATATGTTAGAAAATGCAAATTGAAATGAAAAAAAAAACCTTGGTATTGTAACTTCTAAGGATGAAATTGCAAAGATTATAAGCTTGATGGTTGAAAAGGAAAAAAAATTGCACTATTCAAAATAAATACTGAGATCCATGGTGAATTAGTTATACAAAGTTTTTTCTTTAATGATTTACAAATAAAAAACTTAACGGACCCTAATCTACTTTTCTGATATGTTTACAAGAAAACATCTTTATTAAACTTCACTCAAGAAGATGAATTAATTGGCATAAAGATTGATATTTTTTGTAGTTGAAATGTAGTCATTCAGGTGTTCTCTCCTTAAAATTTTCCAACAACTTTCTCTCATTTTTCTCAATACACAAGAATTGAAATATAAAGAAAAAAAAGCTTGATATCAAAACATGAATTCCCATAACAACAAACACCCAATGATAGGAAAATTAAAATTTAAGAGGTCAAACTAAAGTTTTCCCTACTAAATCCAAGTAGGTAAATTTGTTCTGTCAAAGATGGTCTCTTTTTTATAATTTATATTTTCAACCTTAATTAAATCATGATTTTGAAAAATCATAACCCAATTCATATTGGAATATCCATCAAAACTCAACACATGTGAGATTATACAAATTGAAAAAAATTATTAATAATAAAAAACACCATGGTGTTGTATCTTTTAAGGGTGGAATTGCCAAGCTTAAAAACTCGATGGCTATAATGAAAAAACAAATAGATAATGTAGCCTACCATGAATTTTTCCTAGTGTTAAGTGTTTTTTCTTCATTGATATATATATATAACTTGTTGACTTGACTTAATATGCAGAGACATATGCTCTGACAGAGTGTTAACACGACCAACTCTCTAGGCACTTAACAACTATCCATTAAAGTGTCATGTCTCTTCAGATGATAATAAAAGCTTCACTTTAAGGTATTATGTAAGGGGAGAAGGGACTTGAAAAATAGGGAGTTAGAAAAGCAAATTCTTTATTTAAGAGGCTTCTCCTTTGGGTTCTACCCCTCAAGGTTTTGCTTTAAAACATTACACACAACCTTTATATATATTATTTAGAGGATTTTGCTTACATCACTCATTACATTACCAAGCATAAACTAAAGCACACTCAATAATGCACACTCACATGATATTTATT